AGGAATACAACTAACAAAGGAGGTGAAAGATTTCTTCAAGGAGAACTACAAACCACTGATCAAGGAAATAAGAGAGGACACAAACAGATGGAAAAACATTCCATGCTCATGGTTAGGAAGAATCAATATTGTGAAAATGGCCATACTGCCCAAAGTAATTTATAGATTCAATGCTATCCCCATCAAGCTACAATTGACCTTGTTCACGGAACTGGAAAAAACCATTTTAAACTTCATATGGAACCAAAAGAGAGCCCGCACAGCCAAGACAATACTAAGCAAAAAGAACAAAGCTGGAGGCATCACGCTACCTGACTTCAAACTATACTACAAGCCTACAGTAATCAAAGCAGCATGGTACTGGTGCCAAAACAGAGATATAGACCAACGGAACAGAACAGAGGCCTCAGAAGCAATGCCACACATCTACAACCACCTGATCTTTGACAAACCGGACAAAAAGAAGGAATGGGGAAAGGATTCCCTGTTTAATAAATGGTGTTGGGAAAACTGGCTAGCCATATGCAGGAAGCTAAAACTGGACCCCTTCCTTACACCTTATACAAAAATTAACTCCAGATGGATTAAAGATTTAAACATAAGAACACCATAGAAACCCTAGAATAAAACCTAAGAAAACCATTCAGGAGATACACACAGGCAAGGACTTCATGACTAAAACACCAAAAGCAACGGCAACAAAAGCCAAAATAGACAAATGGGACCTAACTAAACTTAAGAGCCTCTGCACAGCAAAAGAAACAATCATTAGAGTAAACCGGCAACCAACAGAATGGGAAAAAATTTTCACTATCTACCCATCAGACAAAGGGCTAATATCCAGAATCTACAAAGATCTAAAGCAGATTTACAGGAAAAAAACAAACCCATTCAAAAGTGGGTGAAGGATATTAACAGACACTTTTCAAAAGAAAAAAAATATGTGGCCAACAAACATATGAAAAATGCTCATCATCATTGGTCATTAGAGAAATGCAAATCTAAACAACATTGAGATACAATCTCACAACAGTTAGAATGGCGATCATTAAAAAATCTGGAGACAACAGACGCTGGAGAGGATGTGGAGAAAAAGGAACACTTTTACACTGTTGGTGGGTGTGTAAATTAGTTTAACCATTGTGGAAGACTGTGTGGCGATTCCTCAAGGATCTAGAAATAGAAATTCCATTTGACCCAGCAATCCCATTACTGGGTATACACCCAAAGGATTATAAATCATTCTATCATAAAGACACACGCACACGTATATTCATTGTGGTGCTGTTTATGACAGCAAAGACCTGGAACCAACCCAAATGCCCATCAATGATAGGCTGGCCAAAAAAAATTTAACACATATATACCATGAAATACTGTGCAGCCATAAAAAAACAATGAGTTTGTGTCCTTTATAGAGATATGGATGAACCTAGAAACCATCATTCTCAGCAAACACAAGAACGGAAAACCAAACACCACAACCAAACACCATGTGTTTTCACTCATAGGTGGGTGATGAACAATGAGAACACTTGGGCACAGGTAAGGGAACAACACTCGCAGGACTAGGTGGGAGGGGGTGGAGGGGGGACAGCGGAGGTGGGGAGGAAGGAGAGGGATAACACCAGGAGAAATGCCTGATGTAGGCAACAGGGGCGGCAGGGGCAGGAAATGAAGACAGCAAACCACCATGGTATGTATGTACCTATGTAACAATCCTGCAGGATGCAGGACGTGCACATGTACCCCAGAGCCCAAATAAAATGAAAAAATGAAAAAATGAAAAAAAAAAAAAAAAAAAAAAAAAAAAAGATACAGACAACTCACTAAAACAGTTGATATAGCTAACAATTACATAAAAAGATGAAGTTCATGAATAATCAGAAAGATGCAAATTAAAATTAGTATCATTTAAGCTGAAGAAATTAAAATGCTGTAATGCTTTCATAAATTACCAGGGAGTAAATTATTAGTTATTTAGTGAGCAAACTTGCATTATCCATTACTACGCATTCTATAAACCTACAATTCCATTGAGTAGGTATCACCTTAAAAAACATTATCATAAATGTCAAAAGATGGCCTGTGAAGGTATAAAAGGTGTTAACTAAAGTTCTATTTCTAGAAATAACCCAAATATCAATCAGTTAGGAATTGGTAAAATATCTGTAGTATACTCAGAGAAATACCATAAAGAAGTTAAAAAGAATGAGGAAAATCTAAATATATTAACAGGCTTAGACTACCAAATCAAATTATTGAGAAATGTGTGCTATAGAACCCCTATAAAGTGGGCATTCCACAGCAAGTAGAAAAATTAAATTAATACAATACATAGCTGAGTGGAGCAAAATGGTAGAAGCATACAGTGTTTATCCCAACCCCAGCAGGAACACCAAATTTTAACTATTTACACACAGACAAAGGCATCATCACAACCACCAAATATCAGGTGAGCAATCACACTACCTGGTTTTAACCGTTATCACTGAAAGAAGTATTGAAGAGGGTAGGAGAGACAGCCTTGAATCCCTGATAGCATACCTCCCGCATCTGGCCCCACAACATTGACAGAGTCTGTGTACTTTGGGAAGGGACAGTGCAGTAACTGGGGGACTTTACACTGAACTCAGTGCTGCTGTCACAGCAGACAGCAAAGCCATGTCGGGCTCAGCCAGCACCCATGCACTGAAGTAGCCTTTGGACTAGACCTTGCCAAAAAGGAATCACCAATCCCAGCAATAAGAACCTGAATTTCTTGGCAAGTTTCACCACCATGGGCTAAAGCGCTCCAACGTCTTAGGTAAACCTGCAAGACAGTCTAGGACACAAGGAGTGCAACTTCTAGGCAACCCTTATGGCTGGGGCTGGGATTAGAGCCAGTGGACCAAGGGAGGTGCCACCTGGGAAAACTGGATATCCATATGTATGAATGAACCTGGAACCCTCTCTCTCACCATATACAAAAATCAAATAAAAATAGATTACAGACTTTTACCTAAGATCTCAAACTATGAAACTACTACAAAAATACTGGAGGAATTCTTCAGAACAACAGTCTGGGCAAAAATTTCTTCTGTAAGACTCCACAAGCATAGGCAAATGCTGCACAAAAATGGACAAATGGGACCACATCAAGTTAAAAGCTTCTGCAGAGCAAAGCAAACAACACAGACAACCCACAAAATGAGAGAAAACATTTGCAAACTATCCATCTGACAAGGGACTAATAACCAGAATATATAAGGAACTCAAGCCTCTACAGGGAAAAAAAATCTAATAATCCGATTTTTAAAAAATGGGCAAAAGATCTGAAAAACATTTCTCAAAAGACAACACACAAATGACAAAAGGGCACATTAAACACCGATCATCAGAGAAACGCAAATCAAAACTACAATGAGATATCATCTTACCCTAGCTAAAATGGCTTTTATCCAAAAGATAGGCAAAAACAAATGCTGGCCAGGATGTGGAGAAAAAAAGGAACTCTAAGTACATAGTTGGTGGGAATGTAAATTAGTACAACCACTATGGAGAGCAGTTTGGAGGCTCCTAAAAAAACTAAAAATAGGATATACCATACAATCCAGCAATCCCACTACTGGGTATATACCCAAAAGAAAAGAAATCTGTATATCAAAGAGATATCTGCACTCCCATGTTTCTTGATGCAGCGTTCCCATTAGCTAAGATATTTGGAAGCAACCTAAGTGTCCATTAACAGATGAATCAAGAAAATGTGGTACATATACACAATGCAGTGCTATTCAGCCCTAAAATAGAATGAGATTCAGTTATTTAAAATAACATAGATAGAACTGGAAGTCATTATGTTAAGTGAAATAAGACAGGCACAGAAAGACAAAGGTAACATGTTCCCACTATTTCTGGGATCTAAAAAAATCCCACAAATTTGTGGGATCTAAACCAACTGAACTTATGGACATAGAAGGTAGAAGGATGGTTATGAGGCTGGGAAGGCTATCTATATACCCAAAATAGTAGGAGGTAGGAGGTAATAGAGGGTAGTAGGAGGCAGGGGGTAGGAGGGGATAATTAATGGGTAGACCCCCAAAAAAACACGATCATTAAGACCTAGTATTAGCAAGCACAACAGGGTGACTATAGTAAAAAATACTTTAATGGTACATTTTTAAGCAATTAAAAGAGTATAATTGGATTGTTTGATACACAAAGAATGGTTGAGAGGATATATATCCCATTTTCCATAATGTGATTATTACATACTGCATGCCTGTATCTAAATATAATGTATATTCCTACTATGTACCCACAAAAATTAAAAACAAGAACATTTTTAAGATACAAATATGTTGTCAACACCCTATTAAAGGAAACAGACACACACACACACACACACACACACACACTCTCACTCACTCACAGGTGAGATATATATACAACTTTTTACTTAACACAAATCTCATTCTTAAAGGATAATTTAATTCTATAGATATTATCTATGGACATATAAATTGAAGCATAGAAATGATCTAGAAAGATTAAAGTTATAAAAGTTGATACTTCTAAGGAAGTAAAAGCCCAAAGAATGTACACTCTGTGATTCTGTTTATATAAAGTTGAAAACAGGCAAAACTCAATTATGGCATCAGAAATCAAGTTACTGGTTACCTGTGAGAAGAAGGGAGGGTGTAAGAATTGGGAAGATATAAGCAAGGGACTTCCAGGACACTGTCAATGTTCTGTTTTGTGACCTAGGTACCGGATTCACAGATGTTTGCTATTTTTGTGCTATATAAGTATTTTCTCCTAGTCTGTTGTTATTTAATACTGTATATACCACTATATAAGTATAAGAAGTTTTAATTTCAACATACCTGAAATAATGCACATATAACCTGTTGAGTTAATATTTATGTTTCTATGCGTATTTCTGTATGTACACCATACTTAAGCAAAAAAGTTAAGCTAAACAACAGTGATAAAACATTTAAGACCTAAATCCAGTTTACCTGTGCTTTTTTCTTTCCTGGAACACATATTTTCACATTTTTTCCTTTTATCATAAGAGGTGTTGTTTCAATGTGCTTCATAATTGCAGTAATTGCCTCTTTAAATTCCATTTCTAGGTAAGCCTAAAATGAAATTTATTCCATCATTTGTCACAAACCTACCTTTACAAGTTCCTGCATTTTAAAATGGACTAATTCTTTATTTTGTAACATCAAACCATTCAATTACCTCAAGTCATGGTTGTTCTTGCCTGTCTTTTTATTTTGCTCAAGTGTAATTTGATTAAGGATGTTTCACACATGAAATGGACATTTAACCTTACAGAATTTCTATACCACTACCAAGATTAAAAAAAAAAATCCAGGCAGGCTCATGGAACAAGAGGAAATGAGAAGACATCAGTGAACAATAGGAGGGAAGGGAAGATATGGTCCAGCTTTGTGGTAGGGCTGACATTTTAAAGGCTTCTTGCAACAAAGACAACACTATGTTCCCTGTCCTGACTCACAACTTAAAAATTTTTTCTTAATTTTTTTAAAAAATTGAGACTGGGTCTTGCTATGCTGCCCAGGCAGCTCAATCAATCCTCCAGCCTTGGCCTCGCAAAGTACTGGGATTATAGGCTTGAGCCACCACACCTGGCCCTACCTCACAATTTTTTTTTTTTTTTTTTTTTGAGACAATTTTACTCTGTTGTCCATGCTGAAGTGCAGTGGCGCAATCGTGGGTCACTGCAACATCCACCTCCAGGGTTCAAGAGATTCTCCTGCCTCAATCTCCCAAGTAGCTGGGATTACAGGTGCCCGCCACTATGCCCAGCTAATTTTTATATTTTTAGTAAAGACGGGGTTTCACCATGCTGGCCAGGTTGGTCTCAAACTCCTGGCCTCAGGGTGATCTACCTGCCTCTGCCTCCCAAAGTGTTGGGGTTACAGGCATGAGCCAACTCACCCGGCCTTAACTCACTATTTTATATTGTGCTTAAAGATTGTTCACAGTTCTTAACTTTCATCACGTGAGTTATAGGAATATAACCCACAGACAATACTTACCATACAAGCAAATAATTTGTTTTAGTATAAACTTACTGGTGTTCTAAAGCAATGACTGGCAAACTATGGCACACTACTTATTTTTGTAAATAGTTTTTTTGAACACACCATGCTTGCTCATTTATATACTACTTATAGTTGTTTTTGTACTAGAATGGCAGAGCACAGCAGTTGAGATCCTATAGCTGGCTCATAAAACCAAAAATATTTATCTGGCCCTTTGCAGAAAAAGTGGGCAAACCCTTGTATTAAAGGATATAAAATATTATTTTGGGGCCTTGTTCATTCACATCCAAACATTTCTATAAATCTCAAAGAACAAATATACATGCAGTACAAGCAGCTAAGAGACCCAACAGCAGTTAATAGAATCATTAAAGCAATTACTTGGTATGAATTTTTACCACAGACTAAACGGCTCACCTCCTTTCTATATGGAACAATCAAGACATCATTCACTTTCCCAAATGGTTGAAATAATTTTCTAACATCTTCTTCAGTACAACCATCCTCTGGTAATTCAGATATAAGAAGAACCGAACCACAATGCAATGATTGTTCTTTCCGAAGCTATTTTTGGAGTGAAAGAAAATTTAAAATAAACCAAATTAAGCTACAATGTACAGTAATAATTTTCTATATAATTTCTTCTACAACTAATATTAGTACATTAAAGGGTCTTTTCCAAATATTTTACCCATTTTTCTTTTTCCTTCACCACCCCTATTTAGCCAATTTTTAAAATCATGATTTTACAATTTTAACACTTGATTTTAAATGCAAAAGCAAAGTGGTAAGAAATACTATTTATATTTTTAAACCCAGAAATGGTTTATAGGTGCTCTTTTCTGTTTACAGCATCTTATAGCAAAGAAGATCTATGGAATGGTCCAAGGCCATTAGAGAAAAGTTTTCTAAGAAACTACATGGCCCACCAACAAGTGAAGCTGAAATCACTTCACTTGCTCACCCTCTCTTCTAATAATTGAAAATGATCTCTAGACGGTTATGTTTTTAAAAATTCATATATAATGCATACCATTTGAATACACTATAGTACCAACTTTACCACCTATGTTAAAAATTAGAGCCAGACATGGTGGCTCATACCTGTATCCCAGTGCTTTGGGAGACCAAGACAGAAATATTGCCTGAGGCCAGGAGTTCAAGACCAGGATGGGCAACATACTAAGACCCTATCTCTATTTAAAAAAAAAAAAATTTTAAACACCCAGGTGGGTGTGGTGGTGTATACCTGTACACTTAGTTACCTGGGAGCCTGAGGCACGAGGATACTTGAGCTCAGAAATTTGAGGCTGCAGTGAATTATGACTGCGCCACTGCAATTCAGCCTGGGTGACAGAGCGAGACCCCATCTCTCAAAAAAAAAAAATTTTTCTTTTTTACTAAATAAGAAAACTTTTAAAAAAGTTCCACTGCCACCAAACTACAAGTCTTGAAACAAAATGAAAAGAACTTTATATATATTAATAATCTTATAAGACTAATTCAGCCTCTTCAGAATTGTCCCCTATATTCAAAAATTTCTTCCCAATGCGCTTCAAAATTCTGTACTTACTGGTTGATTATTTTAAGTTTATCTTTCTAAATGTAAGTTCTTTGGGGCAGGGAACAGCAGATGCTGAAAGTCTTTAATGTATTTAGATACTGAGGAGAGCAATGTATACCATACCTAATTACCTGAAAACTAATTGATATTAAAATATACAAAAAATTTGATAATTGGGCCTATTAGGATTTTCTCTGAAGACAGTCTCTTGATGTTTTAATATATTATTTAATAGTGATTTAATAAACATATATAACAATACCTCAGCATTGTAACCAATGCATTACAATCAAAATACACCAATAAATCAGTACAAAAAACTACATTTTACACTGTACAACAGAGTATTTGACTTCTGAACTGTACCACAAAAAGTATAGAAGAGATGAATAATGATCAATTCTCAGGAGAGGCTCACTCTTACACCTTACAAAAAAACATTACAAAAGCTCAGTAACGCTGCTGGTGATTATTTAGTTTCCCAATCAGAGAGCAAAACTTATCATAATAATCTTTTGAGGCCAGCCAAAAATGCCAAACCATCAAAATGTTCTCTTTTGACACATCAAATACAAACCACTGGCATTCCTAAGCTACAAGATTTTGAACTTTGGACTTTTACTATATTCATAAGAAAAACCAGTGAAATACTCCATACTGAAATCATTTAACAATTCATGATTTCAAAGTTACTGGAAATACGGAATTAAAAAGTTAAGACAACTTCGTTTTTCTTGAGATAGGGTCTCTCTCTATAGCCCAGCTTGGAGTGTAGTAGTGTGATCTCAGCTCACTGTAACCTCTGCCTCCCAGGTGGGTTCAAGTGATCCTCCTATATGAGCCTCCCATGGCCTGGGACTATAGGTGCCTGCCACCATGCCCAGCTCATTTTGATATTCTGTTATTTTTGGAGAGAGGGGGTTTCACCATTTGCTCTGGCTGGTCTCAAACTCTTAAGCTCAAGTGATCCACCCCACTTGGTGTCCCAAAGTGCTGGGATTCAGGCATGAGCTACCATGCCAGGCAACAACTTTTTATTCTGTTTGTCATAGCAAATGTATGAATACTTGCACTAACAAAGATTTACAAAGCCAGGCATAGTGGCTCATGCACTTAAGGAGGCTGACATGGAAAGATTGATTGCCTGACCCCAGCCTGAGCAACACGGCAAGATCCCATCTCTACAAAAAAATAAAAACTTACCCGAGCATGGTGGCTGTGCTGCCACCACGCCTGTTGTGCCAGCTACTCCGGAAGTAGAGGTAGGAGGATCACTTGAGCCCAGGAGATAGAGGCTACAGTGAGCCAGCCATGTTTGCACCACTACACTCTGTATCTCCAAAAATAATTACTAATTAAACAATTACCTTTCGCTGGAGAGAAACAGCTTTATCAGACACTGGTTTACATTCTGGCGAAGTATCATCTTCAAGATTCTTTGATTTACAACGAACAGAATGTCCTCCTAGATTTGAATCGCTCTTTGAAGTACTTGTAGATTTAACTGATGGTTTTGTTCCACTGCCAGTTTTAGGCTTTTGTGCTGGTGAATGTCCCTTATCAATAGCTTCAAGATGCTTCTGTTTATTAAATTCTGTCCCATGCCCAGGTTGTTGTACTACATCTTCTAATGCCTTTTTCCTATCTAGTGAAAAGACAAAAAAAACAATTTCAATTGAAAAAAAATTAAAGTAGGAGCCATCTCATGACATAATTTTAAAAATATAGAGCTATTCTCAAGCTAAACAGGGAGCACATAGATGAAAAAAATCTAGTCTTTATTCACTCAGAAGGCTTTTACATGAAGAAGTTCCTTTATTCAGTAAGCTTCCCTTATACCAGTGATCCTCAAAGTTTTGGTTTCAAGTTGCTTTACACTTACTGAAGACTCCAAAGATGTGTTATATTTATTGATATTTACCATATTAGAAATATAAAATTTAAAAATATTTATTAATTCATATATTAGGTTGTTGCACAAGTAATTGCAGTTTTTACCACTGAAAGTAATGGCAAAAAAGTAAACTCCCATATTAATGTAAATCTTTCTATAAAAACCATCCATAATTCCCAAAACAAAATTAGTGAAATGAGTAGCACTATTGTACCTTCTTCCAAACATTTTAATGTTGTGCTTAAAAGAAAAAATCTAAATTCTTCTATCTGCTTCTGGATAAAGAAAATCCAGCCTCATGCAAATATGTAACTAGAAAAAAGAAGACCTCACAGAACTCTTAAAACATCTTGGGGACCCCACTCGGTCATTGCTTATGTAATTAAAAGTATTTTCATTTGAATTCAGCATTTTAGAATATACTAGATACAGTAAGACCTGTTAAAAGTATTACTTTTTTATTTTTCAGACCAGTGAGGTGAAGCAGTGGGAGTGTCAAAGGACCTCAGATATTAACTATGATTTCTTTCATTGTAGAAAGAGGGTGTGTGTGTGTGTGTGTGTGTGTGTGTGTGTGTGTGTGCACGTGCTATTTCTGAAAGGGTCATTAAATCAGCATTAAGTCACAGGTTAAAAATAATAATTTCAAAAACATTTTAAATTAATCCATGGAATTCTATAATCAATTATCAAAGTAAACTAAGATGTTTCTACCATCCTTGGTTTTTAAACACGATGTTGGTAGACACATATATTCACACACATTTTTTTGCCAAGTGACTAGAGGGAGTAACTCTGTGGGATGTGGGTCAGATTTCATTTAGCAATTCTAAAATTTAATAAAATGGAACATTTCTCAAAATCCTAAAAAAAAAGACATTTAAAAATTTAGTCAAAATAAGTACATTATTTCATGGCCATCAGTGTACCTGATGATCTCACTGATCTCCTGGATATCCTTTCGGGGCTAGCTGATCGAAAGCATTTTGGACTACCCCTAAATGGATTTTTAATTCGATATGGTGAACGGGATCTGGATCTGGATCTGGATCTGTATCTAGAAATGAAACGATGGCAAATTCTTGGACTTCGACTTCTTGGTCTATACATGTAACGCATTGGGCTTCGAGATCGACGGATTCTGTGACTTGAGCTTGATCTTCTAGAACGCCTAGGACTGGGGGAATGAGAACGTCTTCGTGGAGTTTCATTTTCTTTTCTATTACCCTCATTTCTGTAAGCAGGGGGAAAAAAAGTTAGTGATTAGCAATTTAATGTAAATTTAAATGATACTAAATGACAGAAGTACTTACTTAAAAAGAGACTGTTAACAATACCAAACTCTGATAAAAGATATGTACTTAAAACAAAAATCTGTTTGTTATGATGTGATTCAGCCTTACAGGTGAGTAAGAAACAATCAGAGCAGTTTATCGGCCCTCCAAACTGCTGGGATGTCTGTTTTCTAGTTTACAGATGAATATGACAATGAATTTCTCTAGTTTTTCCTGTACCAATATTATATCCAATTATACTTTTAAAGTATTAAATTGTGTAAAGAATTTAGGAAATGATTTACATAAACAGATGTATTAAATAATTTTTTCCTGAAAGATTATGCCATCTATAAATATGATTTGATTTCTGTATGTGTGCATACACCCATAAATTGAGTAGGATCCCCTAGGGGATACAGAACTTAATAACACCACTCCTAGCATTCAAGGCATTTACAACAGAAGATGTCATAAACATAAAATAATAATGTCAGAATAAAATATTTTCAGAAAAGATTAAAGAAAGTAGTTCGGGGAGGGGCTGTATCACATTTAAGCTGGAATAAGAAAGATTCATAGAGGTTTTTGCATTTGCCTACTGTTTAAATTGCAAAAATAGAACCCAAAAGAATCACTTTCTTAAAATTAAGTGTTCACTTTTAAAAGATAATTAAGTTTTCATAATATTACTATTTTTAAAAATTACCTTCTTGATGGAAGGATCTCAGGATTCCAATCAGGATACCTATTTTGAAAATAAACAATATTAACTAAGAGCTAAAATAAGACTATAAGGCTCAATTAATCTTTACTGGAAATAAAATATTTTAAGTATTTAATTCAATAAATAATCAAAGTATTATGCTAATGGGTGTATCAGGGAAACACATTCCCCATACTTTAAGGCCTAAACACTTATTTAAGTAAAATGGCCAGTACATACACAAACATGTTAGAGATACAAGATAAAAGCTTAGGTTAAGGGTTAAAAAAGAGAAGACAATTCATCTACTTTACAGAACTCTAGAAAACACCACTCTTATCATATTCTATGTGGCAACTCACAGAATACAACATGAATGGTGCCCCTTAACTTATGCCAATTGGTCCTCACAGAGATATATCCCGTAAGAGGAATCAGGAGAGAATTCATAGAAAATGTGGCTTTTCAAGTAGCCCTTAAAAAGATCTATTAATAGGCATGGATCAGGTTAGATTTCATGCAGTGGCAATACATAAACTAAGATTGGAGGCAAAACATAGGTGTTTTGTTCCAGGAACTGTCTAGCTGCAGCATAGAAATGATAAAAAGGAATTATAAAGGGGGAAACTTGGACAGGTTGTCTGTTGTCTCAGGTAGAGACAAATTATGAAGAGCCTTGAAATCAGGTAACGATGTTACACAAAGGAAAAAACAATGGGAAGTTAATGAACATTTATAAGACAGGATAACAGGAATGTTCTCAGAATAAGTGTAAAGGAATATCTGGAATTAGAAAAAAAGGTAAGAGCTGAGATATTTAGAAATCAGGCATGTAGAAGCCACAATTACAGCCCTAAGAGTGAGACTAATACAAGATGGAGTTTATAGAAAAAAAGAGAGCCGAGATAGAATCTTAATGCACATCAACAACTGTAAAGCAGACAAAGAAAAAAAAGATTAAGGAGTAATCACAGAAAGAAAAACCAGTAGGAGAAACAGCAATATCACAGAAGCCTAAGAAAAAGGCTGTGTCTTCACTCTCAACTTCTAAAAAATCTGAACTCTGACAGGCATTTGGACAAGTTGATTGTATTAAATAAATAAATCACTACATTTAAGAATACAATTTCAGTAGCAAGACGAAAGCCAGGTAAGGAAATGGAGGCAGCAAACTTCTTACAAATCACCTAGTAGGAAAATAAAGCTAGGTCAAAATTTAGTAAAATAGTTTGTCTTGATTGCTATTTGCCTCAGACATTGTTAATGAGCTAACCCCACAGCAATTCTCAATTCCCTTTTCCCTTGTTTGTCTTTATTACAACGACTAAAAAAAGCTAAATATCTGCTTTCCCACTATCTCTAGAAGATAGCCAGTGATAGGTTCTAACCAATGGGACATAGGTACAAAACCCCCAGGAGACATCTGAGAAAGCTTCTGCCTCATTCTTCATACTTTGAGAATAGACATCCTGTCTAGAGGACTTTTTAATTATGAGAGGACAAGCTATGAAGACAAAAAAGCTAACTTTAATCCAACATACCCATCACCTAGTGTCAACAATTCCCAATATATGGATTGTGTTCCATCTATTTCTACACTTTTAAAAACTTTCATTGCCCTGTACCATCCAGAAAGATAAATTCCTAGTCTTATAGTGATTCAAAGTAAATCCTTTATAATCAAACAAAACTGGGTTTCACCGTAGGTGCTGTCATTTAATGGCTATTAAACTTAAGGCCAGTTACGTAGTTTGTGTAAGCCTTAGCTTTCTCACATGTATATGCTGGAAATGACAGTGATTAACAACACATGAAAGTTATTAAATTTCCAGAGCTCTCTAGTTTATGGTTCACAAAGTTTGAAGATTATTATTCAAGAGTTACTAATTATGGTTGGGCACGATGGCTCATGCCTGCAATCCCAACACTTGGGAGGCTGAGGTAGGCAGATCACACTTGAGTTCAGGAGTTTGAGACCAGCTTTGGCAACCCTGTCTCTACCAAAATACAAAAAAATTAGCCAAGCGTGGTGGCACTTGCCAGTGGTCCTAGCTATTCAGGAGGCCGAGGTGAGAGAATCACTTGAACCCAGGAGGTGGAGGTTGCAGTGAGCTGAGAGAGTTAGTAATAATATTGTTGATTTTCACTAGGTTCAGCTTCATCAGTTTAGCCTGTTCACGAGGTAACACATGTTCTCATCTCTGCTGCTCAGGGCAGAAAGATAAAGCATAAATATATTCTGCAAGCAGAATTTGGAAACACCTCTATACTGCCCAACTAGTCAAAAATGTGCTTCAGAAGCAGTAACGCTCCTAATATAGGTGGTATAACATAATTTTTAAGAGTAAGGACCTGGTAACTGATGTTATCTTTGTCCCAATGTGATGCAATAAATACACACATCACCTATGAAGTATTTGCAACAAAAATGTTCTCAGTGAATTTAATGCTAAGGAAACAAATAGGAAACTATAAAAAGTGGGACATTCAACAAGACAAGTTTCCTGGGCATTTCAGGGAAAAAGTCAACACTGTAAAAACACCCTCCTTGAACAACAACAAAAAAAAGATGACAAAACAAAAAACAAAACAAAGAGTAGGCTATTCTAGATTAAAAGAGACCATAATACATAAATCTTAACTGAATACTAGATGGGGGGTATGGATGGGGCAGACAAGAAGAGTTATTTAAGGCATTCTGGAAACAAATGGGAAAATATGAATTCTGTTTATATGTTATAAGGCATTGTGGAATTATTAATCTATTTAAACGTGTTGTATCAGGTTATGCAGAACAATGTCCTTACTCTTAGAAGATAGAAGCATTTAGAAATGATGTGTCATAATGTCTGCAATTTATTTTCAAATAGTTCAGAAACAAAATGTATGAAGATATAATAAAGCAAATATTAACAACTGATGAATACAGATGAAGAATATACATTTTTCTTCCTTTTTCCCTTGAATATTTATTCTGAAAAAATTTTAAGCCATAAAAAAGTAGAAGGGATGGTAAATAAAGGTCCATAGGTTAAACTAGTTCTGATTAACTATTTGCTACATGATGATAGAAAAACTGTCTCTGTGCCTCAGCTCTCTCACTGATAAAATCAGGAATAATCCTTATACTTAACACTTCGTAGGTGTTTCTGAAGACTAAATCAATTATGTAAAGTACTCAGAATGCCCAGCAAACAATAAGCATAGTATAATTACCTATTTTTAATAGTAAAATTCTGATTCACTTTATCTTTCCTCAACTACTCATGTCATAATCCAGAAAGATCCAATAAAGCCAGAGAGAATAAGCCATAAGAAACACAGTAACTATCTAAATATGTATCAATGGAGGAATGAGTAGAAATAAGGTATATCCACATTAACGCAGCTTAAAAGCATAAAGAATGCAGATCCCAAGCACCTAGCCAAATCTTACTTATTAAATTATTTTACAGTGGAGAGAAAGTAATGAAGCAATTATTCAAGAGCATACAACCTGAATGTGATGGTTAATTTCAGGTGTCGACTAGATTGAGGGATGCTTAATGACTGGTGAGGCATTGTTTCTTGGCGTGGCTGTGAGGGTGTTTCCAGTGAAGATTGGTTTGTGAGTCAGTGAGCTGAGTAAGGAAAATCTGCCCTTAATGTGTGCGAGCATCATGCCATAGCATAGGCTGGGAGCCCAGATGGCACAGATAGACGGAAGAAGGTGGAATTCCCTCTCTCCACCCCTCCTTCCCTCAGAGCGAGATGCCCTTCTACTCTTTGCCCTTGGACATCAGAACTCCAAGTTCTTGGGCCTTTGGTCTATATGACTTGCATCAGCAGGCTCCTGGGTTTCTAGGGCTTTCTGTCTCAGACTGAGAATTATGCTATCAGCTTCCTTGGTTTGGAAGTTTTTGAATTTAGACTGAGCCACACTACCAGAAACCAAGGGTCTTCAACATGCAGACAGAATATTGTGGGACTTCTCAGCCTCCATAACTGTATAAGCCAATTCCCCTAGTAAATCCCCTCTCACATATCAATACACAGGGATATCTTGGAAATATGTAGATTGAGTTCTAGAACATCACACTAAGCAAGTCATGTAAGTTTTTTGGTTTCCTAGTGCAAACAGAAGTTATGTTTAGACTATACCAGTCTATTAAGTATACAATAGTATGTTTTTAAAATGATACATAAATTAATTAAAAATACTTCATTGCTAAAAAATACTATAATGAGCCTTCAGCAAGTCAAAATCAAAGGTCACTGATCACAGGCTGCCATAACAGGTATAATAATTATGAAAAAGTCTGAAATACTGTGAGAATTACCTCCCAAAATGTGACTCAGGAACACAAAATGAGCACATGCTGTTAGAAAAATGGTACCAATAGGAAAGAGTCCTGACTGGCCCAGCAGAGACAAGGGAAGAAGGAGGCCCTGGATCTGCCACTATAATCAGAGTGAGGTCAGGTGAAGAATAATGTGCAGAAGGTGAAGAAACTATGAAGGCATCATGAGACCTGGTTAGGAGACACAGCCTGGAGAATTATGAAAGATACACTGTTGTTTTAAATTTCAAACCACAGTTACCTGTGTAACTAAAGAACCCTTAAGTCTCACAATAGGAAAAAGTGGAAACTGACCCAGAGGATACCAGATTGAAGGATATATCCAATTGCAGTTCCCACCAGCATACAGGTACTAGTAACACTGTTCATTTTCAGCTTCGGCTCTTGATTGCTTTTGGCAGCAAAAGCATGCTCAAGGGCCAGATGAGACAGCGATTTGATATTAGGAGATGATTAAGATGGATTCTTGAATGATGCTCCCCAAAAGATACATACATACATATGTCCCAATCCCTGGAACTTGTGAATGTTACCTGATTTGGAAAAGGATCTTTGCAGATATAATTAAACTAAAACTCTTGAGATGAAATAATCTTCGATTATACAATGGGCCCGAGATCCAACAGCCAGTGTCCTTATAATAGGAGGACAGACGGAGGTTTGAGAGAAGGGGTGTGAAGACAGTAGCAGAGATGGGATTGATGGGCTACAAGCTAAGGAAGGCCAACGACTGTCCCTAGTCACTAGAAGCTAGGAGAGAGGCATGGAATAGATTCTCCCCTAGAGCCTTAGAAGGGAGTGTGGCCCAGCTAACATCATGATTTCAGGCTTCTGGACTCCAAAACTGTGAGAGAATAAATTTCTATTAAGTCAAAAAAAAGAAAAAGAAAAAAGAAAAATAGCACCAACAGACTTGACACAGGGTTTTCACAATCTTTCAATTTGTAAAAAAGCGAAATTACATGAAATATAATAAATCAAAGTGCAATAAAATAAGGTATGCTTATATATGTCTCCCCTATTGGTCTCTCTGGAGAGTCCTAATACACTTGACATGGCTAAAAAATAAAAAGTAGTGTAGAACATTAAAGTAGCAGGCATGGAAAGTAAATGTTTTAAATCAGGGTCCTATGTGCATGAAAAAAATAATAGCCTTACCTATACTTAGGTATATGCTGTTTGCTCAAGTAAATTAACGTAGCTATAATCCTTCTACTAGCATGAATAAATAGCTGGCTCCCAACCAAATAAAAATTCACCTTCATTAAAAGACATCCCACTGGGTTACCTGTGGGAAAATGTTGCTTAGGAGAGATTTTCCATTTTTGACTGTATTCCTTACAGTGACAGTAAGGCATATCCAATTCAGGCAATAAATTATCTCCCCATGATAACCTATGTTTGTCTGCACAGTATCTATGTAGGAAACTAACCCCAATTTCTAGTCTTAGTGTGTAAGGTCCAGGTGCAGCTTATCTCACTCTTGACACCAGTAGACATATGACAAAAACCGAAGTGTAGTACCCTATTCCCATAGCTACTATAATGGGTTTAGGGATGGACAACTAACCCAAAGTGAACCAAGAGTCAAAACAAGGACTTCTGCTGGAGTTACGGAGAAAGAAGTGTTCTAAAGTAAAAAGGTGAGATAGGAGAGGCATATATTCTCAGGACCTCCCGAGGCTGTGTCACAGGGTGAGGGGTTAGGGGAGGGGAAAAAAAAACCCTTCTAGAAATGCCAGCTATACAGATCACTTACATCCAAAACCATGGGGTCCATTTTGCTATGTGAAAGAAGTGTGTCCAAGATTTCATAACGCCAATGCAAAAGACAACAGCTAAGAAATAAGTATTTCTGACACTGAGTTTTGTTTGAGCATCCAATACAGCTGCTCCTGAAACTATTAATAGAACCACCAAACTCATTTAACCTTCCCAGTCAATCGAGCTTACAAATTCTTACTTTAAAAAAAAATTTTTTTTTGAAACAGGATGTCGTCCTGGTTAGACTGCAGTGGTGCAATCATGACTCACTAAAGCCTCTATCTCCCATGATCAAGTGATACTCCCACCTCAGCCTCCCAAATATTTTAGCTACAGATATGTACCACCATGCCTGGCTGATTCTTTTATTTTTATTTTTGGTAGAGAAGAGATCTTGCTATGTTGGCCAGGCTGAACTCCTGGGCTCCAGCAAGCCTACCTGCCTTAGCCTCTCAAAGTGCTGAGATTACAGGCATGGGCCACTGCAACTGATTTGCAACTTTAATCACTTACAACCAGAAGGATTCTCATTATAATAATCTCAAATCCATTTGCCTATGAACATGTTACCGTCAGTCTGGTGGCTAGGAACTGTTTAATGGTACTAGGGAAAGCAGAGTTTAATTTTATGTTATTCCAAGGGATACTGGAACTTAGTGTTAAAATAACACTTTTAACCTTTATGGCCAGTAAGGAAACCTTCACAAATGCCCTGTTTTAGAGAAGAAAAAGGTGGAAGAATTGAAGAGCCAAGACTGAGGAACCAAGACATCTAGCTTTTTCATCCCTTACTTAAGGTATATTCTGAAAACTGGTTCTAAGATGGAGAACAGCATTAGGTCCCAAATTAAATGCTGGTGTTTGGTTTGCACTGATTTTCAGTTACTTATCCTATGGAAAGAGGTGAAGTTAGGAGAAAGAAAGGATACCTGCTCTGATATAGATAAAAGATCGTGGGAAAGGTAAGCCAGCAAAGAATGAATTAATGACATAAAAAGTTTACCCACTGGGAATTAAGTTAGAAAAGTGCCAGAGCAAAGGATATATTCAATTCTATCATTTTAGAAAAATATTAAATATACTTCCACAAAACTAATATTTTAAAAAGACAACTTTCTAAAGATATTTTTCTCCAAAGTATACTAAAAATATTAACAGTCATATCTGAACATTAACTATTTTGTAAATATGCTATCTAAAATAAAGAAAAAAAGTTCTTACTGTTGACGTAACTGTCGACAGCTCTCAATATGAGTAGACGTATTTTGATGCTGAATCCAATCCTATTGTAAAAGGAGAAAAGTGTCGAAATTAGAATATTCCTCATGTTGACTAACGAACGAGGCTTTTAAAACAGACAAGAATACATCTTTTTCAAAAATTAAACAAATGTAGTTATAAGTAGCTTTTGGCTACTCAAATTTTCACAAACAAAAATTAAAGGTCTCGAAACAAATGTACTTAATACCATACCTCATTGCTCCCATTTGAAAATATTTTAGTACAGAAAACATTTTAAATATCATATCCATGGATGCTCATTTTGAAATCAATATATAAACTTGGAGAAAATAAAAGCATGGATCAGCAAAAACTTATTGCAAAAAACACCATACCAGAAAACACCAAAAATTCTATAAGTAAAATGGTATCTGTGAAACAGTATCTTCAAAATACAGTATTTCAATGACGAATACCTCTAAAATTCATGCTAACAACATCAACAATCAAAAAATGCTACCTCATAGGCCAGTACCATTCCATACAAGGTACTCACTGTTTTGGTAAATGAGATTAGTAAAAATACGGGAAAAATGCTGCTGATCAATCTATTTTCAAAATTTAAAGGTAACAACATTTCAAAGATACAATATCCCTTACATATTGAGCTTTACAATTAACAAAATGTTTTCTTATACATAACTTCATTTACAAATAAATCTGTCCTAAAATTACAATCTGTACCCATAAATAGCTCTGGAAGATACATCTGGATTTAAAAGAAAAAAAAAAGCCAATACAGTTTTCAAAGATACAGTTTCCAAAGTGAAACAATTAGTTAAAAGCAGTATGTATGTTACTCTAAGTTTCACTATTCCTCCAGGACTTGGAAAAGCAGAAAACTTACTAAATAACTCTGTATTTCAAAACTTTGCTTAAAGAAAATGTGATTATTTGTTTCCATTTCAAACACATTTTAGTTTAGGTCATTGCTAAAGAACTATAAGTTTCCACAGGTGAAATCACAGTTGACAATTTTAGATTCTGCCTTGGCAAGAACTATCTGAAAGAAGGTACACTGATTTGCAGTGCAATGCTCAGCATCAATTTAAACCCAGCAACAAGGTATGACAAATCCTAAACTATTTCATTAAGCCATGAAACTGATTGTAGACTACAAAAAAGAAATGTTTGTACATCCTGTTTAGTAATACAAATAGAAAGCTAGAAGAGATTGGCAGTTAAAAGTCTCTAGTGGTACTAAAACCCGTATTTTTAATGTTAACTGGACACTTTACATCAAACAGACACACTGGTGCAGGCAGTAGGTTGGGCATGATTTATTTGAACCATAAAGTGTTTTATCTGAATACGTTGCCAACATTTAATAATCCAGAGATTTTAATCCCAAGTCCAGATTTCCAGCTTTTCTTGAAAAAATAGGATGATACAGTAATACAGGATACCATTCTTACAGCAACTATCAGCTGACGATGATGGCTGCCCTATTTAGGACATACTCTCCTCACATACAACACACATTCTCTTACTGCACTTTTAACAGGCTTGCTTCACAAATTGACATTACTTCCTTTAACCTCAGTAAATACACCTATCCTGCCCCAATTTCTAGACTCTCTGGCAAAAGTACCCACATTAGATAATGGTCCAAAAGCAGCACTGCCTCCCCAGAGAAAAAGTGAAAATTACCTACTAAGGAGGAGGCTCTGCAAGGACTGTATAGAATTAGGCAGGCTCAGGATGAAACTGAAAATACCTACCCGTATCAGGGCTCACTTATTAGTCTCAACAATTTTTTACTGTCAGTACTTTCTCAAACTGGATTATTTCAGTCATTACGACACAGACCCTAAACCAAGGGAAGTTTTTCCTTTAAAATCTGAACCCCAATTTAACAAGCAAATACATTTCACATTCTCAAAGTACATCTTCACAGCTATAATTTCAGAGACTCGAAGGTGGGAAATATACATATTGTCAGATTTACTCAGTAGAAAAAAGTTTGCAGTTGGTAATTTACATTTATTGGCTTCATATTTATGTCATATATATATATATATATATACACACACACACACGAACATTTACGAGGCAGCAAAATATATCACAGAAATGAGAAGTAGTTTGTACCATCAAAATCCCCATCTTCTCAAATCTCTATCATCTGGCCATTTAGCAGTGAAAAATTCTTTACTTAGATGAGCCCCATTCTGTTGTGCTGTTAAAAGGGGTGTGTGTGTGTGTGTGTTGTGTGTGTGTTTAACGGCAATCTATGTGAGTTCTAATGATTACTAAATGATTTTCTCTCCTCTAAATTCTTTACTTTTACCCTATTAACCCAGGTTTTTACCATCTTATACTTGAACAATTAGAGAAGCTTCCAAGTGGAGGTCCTCCTCCATATCATCTCATCTCTATCTACCCTGCATACTTCAGTCAGGTCTCCCTAAAATATACTTTAAACATGTCACTTCACTTATCAACAAACTTATTTAGCTTTCTAATGCCTCCCACCTCAAGTCTAAACTCCTAGGCTAGCTCTTCAAGGCCTTTCATACTTATTTCTAATATGCTCATCACTCTTTCCCAACTGCCTCCTACCACAATGAAATGTAGTCTCTCTCTGGACCTTTGCCTCTCTGTATATCGTTGCCATCCCTCCTCCTTTTTTATTTTTTTATTTTTTTTTTTTAGATGGAGTCACTCTGTCACCCAGGTTGGAGTGCATTGGCGAGATCACCCGGGTTCAAGCAATTCTCCTGCCTCAGCCTCCTAAGCAGCTAGGATTACAGGCATGTGCCATCATGCCCAGCTAATTTTTGTATTTTTAGCAGAGACAAGTTTAACCATGTTGGTCAGGCTGGTCTCGAACTCCTGACCTCGTGATCCGCCCAACTAGGCCTCCCAAAGTGCTGGGATTACAAGCGTGAGCCACCACGCCCGGCCCCCTCCTCCTCTTTATACAGGCATATCTAAAGCCTCTTTATCATTCAAGATCCATCTTCAACCTACTCCATGAAGTCTTCTCTACCACATTATTCTAGTCAAGATAGACTTAGTGCATTTAGTAACTGACATTCCATTAGTCTAACTAGGCTGTAAAAGTCTTTTGATGTCAGAATGCATATTTATAATTTTTAAACACATACCGCTACAAATACAATAGTTAAAATAATTATTAAATTGGTAAATTGGTAATGATTACATCAGTAAATTGATGATGCTGGCCTGAGTGATACACGCCTGAAATCAACATAGAAATATTACATCTCTGTCCCCTACAGCATATCCAAACAAGTTAAATATACAAAACCACTTGTTGCCTTCTAATTGTTTTAAATGTCTCAGGAGTATAATTTTTCTCCTCAATAGGACTGGATAAACTGCTTAATAACATCTAAAATTTTACACAGTTCCTTATTTCTGCCCCAGTACCTAATTGGAGTCAAGTACAAAACCGGTATCCATAAGTACATACTAAATTAAATGTATATCTTTTCTACTATACAGAATACAAATTAAAACTTCAAGTTCTTTATTTAAAGATGTATTTTTTGGGATTCATCATGATTAATTAAGAGTTTAAAATAAATTTTAAAATTATGTGGTACGCCCAGTCATAAGAATACAGAGACTAATACCCAATTCACTACTTAGGCCAGGGCTACTTACAGATTACAATTAGGTGATATGAACTATTCTAAAACTTTTTCCCTTGTAAGGACTTTGCTATCCCTTCTGATGGAATAAGGCAACTATTATTTTAACAGAATTTGGCACAGCTGGCTGAAATGGGATCGAATCCTGCTTTCTTTCACTGAAGTTAACTTTAAGAAACAAACAACAGATCTAATTATCAGAATCATGTTGATAAAAACCTGGTGAGTGAGTAATGAAAAGAAAATCAAAAGGCAGCACTGCAAGAAGAAAAGAACAAGAACATTAGCACCTATAGATTTTTAAGCCTAAGTATACAACCAATTCCTGACCATGGCCTTGAATCAAAGCTTTTTCCCATGTTAGTACATTCCCTCCTGACTCTTTACAATCTGAATCAATAAATCACATTGGTAAATAGAAGAAACAGTGCTTGCCAAACACAGATAAATAAATAAAATTTACTTGGAAATTCCTGCTCCAATCTACCAATGATTACTACCTAATAGTATGTTCTATATTATAGTACACTTGACTACCTCTGCAAAATACTTCCTTCTAACTATACTATTAAGTACCTAAATCTTCTTTATTTTTTAAAGAATTTTCTCTTCAAATTTCTGTCATTTAACTCTATAATTAGTGCACCTTGACTTATTTTTGCTATGAAGTTATTTTAGAAAGCTTCTTCTCAAAAAAACACTAAAAATCACTAGTCTACATATGTAAAGTCAGGAAATATTTAAATCGGCATTGTCTTTATCCCAAGACAAGTATATATGTGCAAGGCCGTTAATATAATGTCTCTTAAATGTGTGAATTACAAATGGGTTATACCATCTCTTAAGTATAAATGGGTTATACTATCTCTTTGTAGTTTTATACTAACAGATCCTTTTAGAGAAAGGTAATTCCATGTAACATTGTCTTGTGAAGTACACAGTTTATGTTATATAAATTTTACGTTGTGTAAGTGGGATAACTAAAAGTTTAAAATAAATGGACAAACTATTAATATATGGTGTGCCCGGTCATAGGAATACAGTAAGCCTAACACTGAACTCAGTACTAAGGCCAGGGCTACTCAAGATTACAACTAATATTGAGGTTGCAATTTAAATTACCTTCTGCCATTTCCTTAACGTCTAGTTAACAGCAGCATACATATTAGAACTTAGAGAAAACTTTGGCGCTGAGCATCATACAGTGATCTTTTTTTAAAAACACTCACCTTCAAATGACTACATTCTACGTTACACAGAGAACACAAATGTGGAAATATTCTTGGAGACGCTGCATAATAATCATTCATCATAGAAGGAGTTGGAAGTCTCTTCATTTTCTGGGCATCAGCATGTGAAAATTTTGGTAGCCAGGATGCTTTCACAATACCAAAGGGAGACCGAATGGGAATGTCAGTCTGTGACTGATAATTCTTTTTACTTCCTCTTGATCCAACATGTACATTAGATGAATTAATCACAGGCTCATGTGGGATCCGCTCTTGTTGGCTTACAGTTGAAATTAATTCTGACGAAAATGGTTGCTGGTTCATAGACGGAGGAATCAGGGATTGATTCATTGTCTGGCTAACTGTTTGGTTAATGGATTGGTTGACAGATTTTATAGGTTCAAGGACTGACTGTCCTCCCGAAATGTGTAAGCCTGACATCTTGGTTCCACTCTCAACTGGGAAAAAGGACCGATTATTGGAGGACTCACCAGGGAAGTCCATTTGGTGAAATACATCTTCAACAGGAAACATAGAATTACATATCACATTTGGATTGGGAACAGATGCAGAAATGCTCTGCTGTGACTGAAATTCATTCTCAACCTCATCAGTTGGAATTTCAGGATCATAAATACGTACTTCAAGTGGATCTTCTGTGTAGCCATATTTGCTTGCATGCCCATAATCAATCACATTACTTGAAACTGCTTCACTACCAAGTGTTTCTTTATTTCTGCTCTGAGAAGGTAAATTAGGTAATCTGCGCCCCATTTTTCGCATTCTTATATCCCTCAAAATTAATGGCATATTTTCCGGAGTTAGTTGTTCATCAGGATAGCGACTAAGTTCTTCTAGGTCTTCATTAGATAATCCAAAACTTGCTAAGATACTTGAGGCACTCTCTTTAGTATAGCGGCTCTGTACTTTGGGACTCTGCTCTGTAACCTGTGTTATGGAACTCTGTTTCACTGCCACTGATGCAGATATATGAGGCTCATCATCCCACCGGCTACCGTGAGGCTTCCCCTTCTTCTGTTGTGCTTCATGAAAATCCAGTTTTTCTTTGGTCAATCTTGGATCAGTTCTGTGTTGAGTTACCTGAACATTCATTCTCTGTGGTCCCATGTTCTGATAAGATTCATGGCCAGCAAATCTGTGTGGAATTCCACGGGCTCTCCCTGCTGGGTAAAATCTTGGGAGACCCATAGATCCAGGCCTCATAAATGGTCCTGGAGGCCTCATCCCAGAAGGGTTAGGTGCTCGTGGCCTTTGAAGTGGAAAGTCTCCTCGAGGATTAAACCTGGGTCTCGACATGGCTATTTTCAAGAAAGCCTGATTTAATAAAGTATAAGGTGGTGTTGAACCATGTGAGGCAACGGCATTCAGCTGCTGAAGCGCCAACTGAGTCTTAATCTGAGCAAAGTGCAAAGGAGATGGGCCCAACAGAAGTGGGTTTGCAATGCCCAGGTTCAAGGAATTCACAAGTGGTGCGAAATTTTCCAAGAATAACACAAAGCTGAAAGTTAAAACACAAACATTAGATCATTTTAACTCAAACTACTTCATGAAGTGGGTTCTACAGCCAGTGTAAAACATTTTGAAATAAAGCCACGAAACCATTCTGCATTTCATACACTTTCAGAGTAAGGGCTTACGAAGATTTAAATTTCCCAAAAACTTTCTCTTTTCTTCTTTCCTGAATGCAGAACACAAGCCCCAACCTCAAGCCAGAGTTCATGTACATTGTGTTGTGTTGGGTGCTGTCCTAGGTGCTGAGCAGTAATTACAACTCCTTTTACATAATCTTGAAAAATACTGGGAATTTATTTCACGCTGTAATACTGAGGAAAAAAGATGAAGGCATTAAAATACTTATAAATGCACACATACTTAATATGCATGTTATCAGATATACAAATAAAGAAAATAAAAACTGTAAGCCTGAAGTTTCATAAGACCCAGTTTTGTAAAACACAATCTTCTTGGAATCAGTCTTCACATCTAATAAATTCCACAGGACAAATAAACTTATGTTCCTATTATTAAATGGTTGTTTCTTGTAAGATAAAAATTTGTTGCTAATAAACTTGTTTGCAGAGTCTAAGAAAACAGTATGCAATGGCATGGAATTCGGTATAATATAGAAAATATGTAACAAAACCAGTAACTCTTCCCTTGGAATCCCTCCATATTTGTCTCACAGTATAGAAAAATATATATGGATGATAATAATTATTAACTTTATAGAGCACTGGCTATGTGTCAGTGTTCTATGAACCTTAAATGGAATGGGTCATTTAATGCTAACAATCCCAAGATATGTACAGAGGAAAACACTAAGGCACACACAGGTAAAGTGACTTACAAATACAAGTGACTGTGCTGAGATTTGTACTGAAGGTTGTCTGGTCCAGTAATATGTATTCTTAACCACTAATAGATGTGAGTAAAAAAATCTTGCCGTTTTCAGGCACTTTATTAGTTAAAACTGGTTGCTGACCAGCCCATCAGACTGCAGCACTATCCACACTTCAACACTCTTCTCAGAAAACACTACTTTAGCTACCATTCAGGACCAAGGTCAGCAGCCACATAACTTGCCTTTCCTCCTGGAATTAAAAAATTTATAAACATATGGACTATGCTTGTGCTTTCTATTAGGACCTCACTTTTATGCATGATTGAAATGCATGGTGGAAAATGTGAGGTCTTTGGGCATCTACAATTGTTATCAAAATCCACACCACGGATCCTATTTACTAATCATCACTGTCTGGTTCAAGCTACAATTCCATCCATTACTTTACTATACACTTTTCTATTTATATATATTAATAAAATGTTAATTTGGCTGGGAAATGGTCTTTATCTGGTTAACACTCTCCCTTCCAGTCATTTTGCACGCTGCCACCCACATTTAACTTTTGCAAAAGGACATTTTTACCACACAACTCCTCTGTTCAAAAATCCAAGAACATCTCATTCCCTTTATTTCTTAGCTTGTTTAAAGTCCAACTAATCTAATCAAACTCTCTGATTTTATCAGACAGGTATTTTTACTATGCCACTGTTCCTATTCTTCCCAACTCCCTTCACCTCTTCCAATCAAAAACAAACGTTGCTCTGGATGCTGACTTATTCATCCTTCAAAGTCAGCCCCCATTCAACCTCCCTTGACTACCAATCCCTGAAATGAATCTTCCAATAATCCTTCTTTCCGTTTTTTTTTTTTTTAAAGACAGTCTCATGCTGTCACCCAGGCTGGAGTTCAGCGGCACAATCTCGGCTAACTGCAACCTCCACTTCTCAGGTTCAAGTCATTCTCCTGCCTCAGCCTCCCAAGTAGCTGGGACTGCAGGCACACACCACCATGCTACCCAGCTAATTTTTGTATTTTTAGTAGAGATGGGGTTTCGTCATGTTGGCCAGGCTGCTCTCAAGCTCCTGACATCAAGTGAACCGCCCGCCTCAGCTTCTCAAAGTGCTGGGATGTAAGCCACCTCACCTGGCATCCAATAACCTTTCTTATTTGTTGCTTGCACCATTTTCTGGACTCTTACTATCTTATGTTTCTGCACTCATAAACACGGTCTTTTTCAACAACGTATTGTCAATTGAAGGTTTACGTTCATGGCTAAGTCTTATCCCCCAAGCATATAAACCCTACTCCTACTCAAAAGATCCTCAAATATGTGTTAAACTATATGAATGATCACATCCAAAGTACTCACTAACATGCACAAATTTTCCAATTAGAATGAAACACAACAACACAGCAAATACACAGGCTTCTGATTCACCAGATACAAGCTAAAGACACAAGTTTACCAAACATTGATACCCAAATTTTGTTTAAAAGTTCATTTATAGGCCGGGCGCGGTGGCTCAAGCCTGTAATCCCAGCACTTTGGAAGGCCGAGATGGGCAGATCACGAGGTCAAGAGATCGAGACCATCCTGGCCAACATGGTAAAACCTCGTCTCTACTAAAAATACAAAAAAAACAAAATTAGCTGGGCATGGTGGCATGTGCCTGTAGTCCCAGCTACCCGGGAGGATGAAGAAGCAGAACTGCCTGAACCCGGGAGGCGGAGGTTGCAGTGAGCTGAGATCACGCCACTGCACTCCAGCCTGGCACCTGGCGACAGACCGAGACTCTGTGTCAACAAAAAAAAAAAAAAAAAAAGTTCATTTCTAACAAACTCATGGTCTTTTTAAACAATCATAAATCATATGAAACTGTGCCTGCCTTCTACACAATAAAATCACTTCCAAAAACAAATGTCTTTACCCAATCCTAAAAGATATACATTGCTTATGTAAACAATTTATCACCTAGTTATTTCAATGCTTTCTGCACCATTTACAACATTTGGTGTAGACTCCTCTTACAACTTCATAAGCACAAGCTCTTCCAAATAATGTTTCTCGCCCAAAATAAAACAGCAAAGGAACAAATTTCAACCAGAGTGATCTAATTACTAAATGGAATTGTGAACACATATCATTTGTAATCATCTCCATTTTAAACTCCTTAAAGGCAAAAATCTACTGTGTATTTCCTCATGTGCCCAACATTGCATTACACTGATTTAAGTACACATTTATAGAAGGTAAGAGTACAACAGCCATTGATAAACTGTATTCTCCAGAATATTAGTCCTCTAAGAGTGGTCATCTACAAAGATGTTCCCTGGCCAAGAAAGTATGAAGGGCACCATACTTGATTTTTAGAGGGGAACAATGTGTATTAGCATATTAAAGTCTATGAGAGAAGTAGCTCACACCTGTAGTCCCTAGCTACTCGGAAGGTTAAGGCTGAAAAACAGCTTGAGCCTGGAAAGCAGAGGTTGCAATAAGCTGAGAATGCACCACTGTACTCCAGCCTGGATGACAGAGTAAGGCCCTGTCTTTTAAAAAAAAAAAAAAAAAAGAAAAAAAAAGCCATGTGAGGCCCTGCTGTAGTTGATACACTTATCAAAATCTTTTTTCCATTTTGCACTTCCCAAACCTGGGTTTCTATTCATAGAATAGACATGTGCTTCCTATGGTTTCCCAGGATATAAAAGTTAAGAGAAACTTTCCTACCTATATACCCAGGGGTCATGTCTGAAATATTTATTGACTAGTAAAGAACATGCAATGAACTATCAAAACATAGGTGCTTTACAGTGTGGAAGCAGACTCCTAAGCCCCTCCTTGGTATACCACCCTTAAACTTTTAAGGGTTGAAGCTGCTGTAGCATGAGAAGGCAGTGATGGGACATCCCTTAGGGAGGAGCTATAAGAGGGAAGGATGTGGGGGATCCACCCTTTGAGCAGCAACTACTTACTAATCAGGAAAGAATTATTTCCATATTTAACACAGCAGCATCAGTATGTAGTCACTGAATATTAATCTTGAAAAGACACCAGTCTTTCATAGAACAATCTGGAATTCACATGAAGAGAAGAATTAAAAGGCATTTCCCAGTTATGAAATTGCAACTATCAATAAGCAGAGGTTTGGCCTGTTTGCATTTTTTAGGAGTCTTAAAAACAACCACCATACCAGACCTCCCATCCTAAAATCTAATACAGTGAAGACAGAGTAAAAAGTTAGCAGCCCTGGCTCTGCCTAAAAGATCTCCCTCCCTTCTCTACTGCGAAGACAAATCAGACTTCCGTTCAGGTAGTTATTTACTAAGCATTCTGGTCCCAAGACCTGCTAGGTAGAGGTAGGAAAGTTTCTCTTCTAATATTCATATCCTGGAAAACCTATTAAAAGCAGCACATGTCAATCTTACAATAGGTCATTTCTGCCAACTTTCTGAGAACAAGTTTCTTAATCCTCCTGAACTTTCAGCCAATACTTCTAACTTATCCCATGACACCACACATATTTCATACTTTTATGTGTAGTATATCATTTTAGTTGGTATTTAGTAACATTTTCACACAATAATCCAGTTGATATAAAATCATCACCTTCTTATGCTACCATTATCATTTCTAATCCCAATAGAGAAGTTTCTGACAAAATACTTTGTCAAAACATCATTAAAAGAGGAATTATGAGTCAGGTGCAGTGGCTCATGCCTGTAATACTCTGGGAGGCTGAGGGAGGCAGATGGCTTGAATCCAGGAGTATAAGACCAGCCTAGGCAACATAGAGTGACTTCACCTCTATAAAAAAAATTACAAAAATTAGTAAAGTGTGGTGGTGAGTGCCTGTGGTTCCAGCTACTCAGGAGGCTGAAGCGGGAGGATCACCTAAACCTGGGAGGTTGAGGCTGCAGTGAGCCATGACTACAACACTGCACTCCAGCCTGGGTGACAGACCAAGACTCTGTCTCAAAAACAAACAAAGAAGAATTATGGTTAATTACTTCATTATATATTTGTTCAGCCATCACAGCTTCCCACTAAAATCACATGCATTTTATATTGGAAGCATGACACACAATGTTAGGCATTGGTAAGAATAAAGACACTTTTTAAAAATACAGGTGGCTTACACCTGTAATCCCAACATTTT